AGAGATTTACTGTCAGGAGAAGGCTCACTTCCTAGTTCATAGACAGCTGTCTTCTTACTGGGTCCTCAACATGGCAGAAGAGGCAAGGGAACTCTCTAGGGTCTCTTTTATAAGGACACTAATCCCATTCATTAGGATTCTACCTCGTGACCTAGTTACTTCCCAAAGGCCCCACCTTGACTTTGTATTAACCATGACTATGAGGGTTAGGATTTCAACACATGAATTTGGGGCAGGGTGGGGGAGTGGTGGTGGGGACACACAAATCCAGTCTATAGCAGTAGGAAAGCCAAATACGAATCTGGAATATGTATCTATTCCTGTGAGATAAATCACCACTCCTTCCCTGATGGAAAGGATCCAGTGTGTGGTAGAATGATTGCAAAAATCGCCCAATATTCCCCCTCTCTGTATGTATGCCCCTTGAAATGCAGCTTCGAAACTGCTTCCATTAGGAGAAGGAATCTCTGTCTCCATCCTTTCAGTTAGGCTGGTTTCGTGACTAGCCAATAGAAAGTGGCAGAAGTGACAGTGTGACAATTTTCGACCTAGGCCTCAGGTCCTTCTACAGACACATTCTCCAGACCTTTTGTTTGATTTTGGAACCCTACCATTGCCATGAGAATAATTCCAACCCAGTCTGCTGGATATTGGGTGACCAGATGGAACAAGTCAAGTTGACCCAGCTGAGGCCATCTTAAACCAGCCCACCTCAGGTGATCGACCATCTGACCACAGACACATGAGGGAGCCCAACCAAGACCAGAAGAATTGCCCAATCTGTAGTTTTGTGAGAAATCATTAATGATTATAGCCTTAAGGCATTAAGTTTGGGGATCAGGAAGTTGTCATGTGGTCAGACAGTCCCTAGTATAGATTTGCCATACTTCCATAGATTCAACACAGATCGTTTATTGTTCACAGCATAGCAGGTGGCATGAACTTCATGTTTTCATTGGTTCCCTTTGCCCCGCCCCAAGCACAATGTAGGTGATACAGGTAAATGCAATGCACAATAGATCTGGAACACAGGTGAAAAACACTGAGTGTAGGAAACCCTCAATCTCAAAAGAGGAATGCTAGCAAACCTGCCCCCTGGAGAGAGATTTTATTATACTGGTCAGGAAACAAATCTGCCTTCCAACCCAGTAGAGACTTTTTTTTTAAACAAAGATTTTATTTATTTATTTATTTGAGAGAGAGAGCGCATGAGCAAGGGGTGAGGGAGAAACAGACTCCCTGCTGACACAGGGCTCAATGCCAGGACCCTGGGATCACGACCTGAGCCGAAGACAGATGCTTAACCAACTGAGCCACCCAGGCACCCCAGTGGGAGACATTTTTTTAATCGTCCTGAAATACCTCCAGGATTGATGGGTGATGCCAGCTTTATTATCTTTATGACTATTATTTATTTAAATTTTTCTAAGTAAGGAAATCTCCTCCCTCCCCTAAGCAGTTTTGCAAACATCCTCAAAGCTGTCAACGCCATTTGCTTAGAAATGTCAGCATTACTCCCAATAGTTTCTTACAGAGTAGTATAGCTAACTGATTTGCAGTGCAATCAACCTATCACTAAGAAGGGTCTAGTCCCCCCCTCCCCCCGCCCCCAGCCATCCCACAGGGGCTCAGTGTTGGTGTCTGCTGTTGGACATCCATCAGGAGCCAGACCAGCCCTGGTGAGAGGCAATCTATACTGTAGAGCCCATGCATAGCTATCATGGCCACCTTTTTCATCATTCCATCGAGCAAGCACTGGGGAGCCAGAAAAAGAGGCTGACTGACATCCCCAGGTTATATCATTGTGTCCATTTATTTTTTTGAGAGCCTCTTCCAGAATGGATGCCCTCTTGTGGGCATTTGTAAGAAACACAAATATTTTCACCATTCCAAGAGGTCCATCCACACACCAACTCCCCAGGCCTTCTTGTCACTGATCTTCCATGCTAACACTTTCCAAGTCTTTGGACAACCAAGAAGGGGCTTGGGACCAGCTTTCCAGGACACTGAACACAGCAGAAATGGATGGGGGAGGGGAGTAGGAAAGGATGGGAAAATAGAGAATTAAAAAAAAAAAAAAGAGGGCTCTAGAACAACGGAGACCTGAAAACCTGGCATAGTGCTATGGACTAGGGTGCCTCAATGAGGGCACTTTCACAGGTTTCAATCTTTGTGTTTTCCTTTGGATTAAAATGACAGTTATATTAACTATTCATTTTTAGGTTTTCCTCCTCTGACCGTAATTCTCTTTAGTTAATCCTAATGGATTAGGAAAAACATCATGTACTCCTACAAATGTCCAGAGATAGTTTTTTGAACATTATTAATGTGTTTTCTATTTTGCTTTGTCTGTTAGGAAATGGGAAGGGAGGAGATGGTATTATTGGGTAGACAACCTAGAGTGTCCCCTTCATTTATGTACTTCTAATTTGTATCTTTTTGGCTATTTCTTTTTTTCATAGCCCTTTAAGCCTCACCACCTTAAATCCTTTTTTGGAGCATAGATTAAATTAAATTGCATTGAATTAAATGAGTATTCTCCTCCCCAATAATTTTAAGCTTCTATAAATATAATTTTAATCACTGCATAACATTGTATTATATAGATGTAATATAATATGCTTGACTTCCCATTGTTTTGCTTTTATAACTTAAGTGGGATGAAAATAGTATGTTATCTTAACTGTGTTATGGATTGGGAATGGGGAGGAAATATTGAAATTGCCTTTGTTTAATAAAATAATTTGATAAATGGCTCAGGAAGATCAGATCCTAAGGGCATGCCTGCAGGCTAAAGCCAAAGCAATGAAAGAGGTAGCTAAACTGGAACGTGGTCTTCTCCTGGCAAATGACAAGAACACAAGAGGGCTGATGGAAACTTGGCACGCTTCTAAAGCCTGAGTTTAGAACTGGCACAGTTACTTCACCGCATATCCCATTGGCCAGATTAAGTCATGAAGCCAAGGATGAAGTCAGTGGGGTGGGAAGATTACTCCCACCTACAGAGAAGCATGGCAAGAACAGGGAGGGAAGAAAGAATAGGAAACAAATACAATCTGCTAGTGAAAAGCCCCTAGTAATGGGGGTGACTGAGACTTTAAGAAGAGATGCATCCAACACCCAATTTGAAGTTCTTTGCATTTCTGTCTGGTAAACTCTCTCCCCTTTATGTGCCTGTATTTGCCACAGTCTGCTATGTGCACAAATAGCTCATGGGAGTAGCATTTGTAAAAATTAAGAAAAAGATATGTGTGTTCAATCTGGGTGAGCATTGTGTTGAACAGCAAAAACAATCCCGAGACATCTAGATGACCCATGAATCCAGTAGGAGCAAAGAACCAGGACTGACCATAAGATAACAAGCCCTCTGGGACTGTACAGAAATCTTGAGGAGGACATTGACCTTTACATAATTCACAAAATTGAGACTTTAAGCAATCCTCTTTAGATCTTACAGAACAGAGTGTCTCCTGGGAATCTAATCTCATAAATGTAATTACTGATCAAAGAGTATAAACTTTTTTTCAGGCTCTTGATAAATAATGTTGAATTGGTCCATGATAAAAAGTTCAAAGAGACATTCAGAATTTTTTTACTTAAAATTTTTTCAGCCATATTAAATACCAAAAGGAAAACATGAAAAAAGTTTTGAAAGTAAGAAAAAATATACAAGCATGGGGCGCCTGGGTGGCTCAGTCATTAAGCGTCTGCCTTCGGCTCAGGTCATGATCCCAGGGTCCTGGGATCGAGCCCCACATTGGGCTCCCTGCTCTGCGGGAAGCCCGCTTCTCCCTCTCCCACTCCCCCTGCTTGCATTCCCTCTCTCGCTGTGTCTGTCAAATAAATAAAATCTTTTTTAAAAAAGGAAAGAAAAAATATACAAGCAGATGTGGTTATTGAATTATAACAGTCATTGTCAATGTCAATAACCTCGATCTTCAATCCCAGGGAACTGAGGACGGCTGGTCACCCTACTAGGCAAGAAGGGGGAAGGGGGCCATCTATCCCAGACCTGGACTTGGAGAAGGATGATGTCTACCTGTGTCCTCCTTAGAGTTGCATTACTGTCTTTGGTTGAGAAGCGGAACCTGAAACAGAGACTCTTGTTCCAGTGGTTTATTGAGGATGTGCTCTCAGGGGACGGAGAGTGAGAGAAGTAGGGTATACAGCAAAGGGGGAATGCTGAGCAAGAATGCGGTGTCAGATGAAGACCGACTTCAGCCTGATCCCACAAGGAGCACCAGAACAGGAACTGCACCAGAGTTGATTCCTCCTTGAGGTGAGGGCTCAGTTGTCTGTACCTCCACACAAGAAGACGGCAGTTCTTTTCTAGAGCAGGTCTCGAAGTTAGGGTACATCAGAATCACCCCTGGAGGGCTTATTAAAACAGACTGTTGGGTCAACTCTCAGAGTTTCTGATTCAGTAGGTCTGAGGTGGGGGCGAGAGAATTTGTATTTCTAAGAAGTTCCCATGTATTGCCAATGCTGCTGGTCCAGGGACCACACTTTGAGAATCACTGCCCTAGAGAAAAAGACAGCTCACTGCACCTGGAAAAGGAGATCTGAGTGGGAGAGAGAGAGGGAGAAGGAGTGGCATCTACCACAGGTATGAACTTGGCATCTTCCTCAGGAAGGCGTATAATAGGGCTAGAGGATTGGACCACATGCTGAGCCTGGGCAGACTACATTTTCAGATCATTTTATTTAGATTCATGGTATTCTGTTATCTTCCTGTTATCATCCGCCGTCGCCAGCCGAAGGATTGTTGAAACATTCCAACTCATCTCAGCCTTGCCATTTGGGCTTGCAGGGAAGGGTCTGGCAGGTAGGGGAGGCTTTAAAGAGGAAGTAGCTGCACCTCACTAGGCAAGCACAGTGGAGTCAGTTGCAATCAGTGGAAAATCCTCAACAGGGAAATAATTATTGGGGGGCAAGCCTCATAGACCACCTTGGAAGTGGTTGTTTGTTTGTTTGTTTGTTTTAAATTAAAGGAGGACGTCTTTTGAAGGCAACTTTTAATTTCATAAGTCCCACCAGAACCCAAAACAAACTGTCCCCGCCCCCTGGGGGATCACCACCAGATGAAGACGAATGTATAAAAGTAACTGAAATACTTGGCCCGTAATGTCCTCCCGGAGTACGGTTCATAGTATACCTGGTACCCCTGGGCTGTAATGTCCATCTTCACGCAGTCGAGGAGGTCCTTGACCTGCGGGGCCGCCTTCCAAGGGCCGAACTTGACAACCGACCTCTTTTCGGCCTCCAGGATCCGCAGAGCATCCGCGCAGTGCGCCGCATCCTCCTCAGTGCGCACGGCGCACACCAGCACCGGGGACCTGCGTGCCGCCATGGCCTCGGCGCGCGCCAGGCGCACCATGAGCTCCAGGTTCTCGCTGTAGCCTGGCACCCGCAGCAAGAACTGCTTCCGGGCCACCTGCTCCCCGAAGATCTGCGGTGTGTCCTCCAGGAGCTTGACCAAAGGCTTGATTGCGTAAAACTGCGCCTCGCGGTACACCTCCGGGATGTGGTGCGTGGGCAGCCGCTCGCTACGCAGGTAGTCCAGGATGGGTCCGAAATAGGTGCCGGGGCGATCGATGAAGAAGCGGCCCTCTGCGTCCATGCAGGGCTTAGCTGAGCTGGAGAACATCTCTGCCAGCTTTGTACCCGGGAGTTTTCTTAGGGTGCCCATGGTGGTGGTGTACAACTCACCTCCCACGTTAAGCTCCACGACAGGGGATCCCTGAGGGCACAAGAAGGCAGAGTGAAGCAGTAGTGCCATCTCTGGGGAGCTCGTGGCTTATTTTCATCCATAGAATATTACAAAATATTCGTCCAGGAGCCTGCTGTAGAAGCAAGTTCCGGTGACCACGCTTGCAAAGCCTGTGGCCTTTGGCAGAGCTTTTTCCCTCTCTACGCCTCTTTCCTCATTTATAAAACGGGAATATGGAGCTGTTGTGAAGTCAGAAGTCCCCAAGGTGGGATGTTCAGATCTAAGATATAATAAAAAAAAAAAGAGGGGGGGAGGCATTTTCAACCTTTCAGAGAGGCTAAGAAACCATACATGCGTTCATTCAGGAAGCATTTTAGCATTTCTTGGGTACTTACTGTAGGTCCACATCCTGTGGTGGGAGTTGGGGACACAAATTCTTTTTTTTTTTTTTAAGATTTTTGTTTATTTATTTGTCAGAGAGAGAGAGCACAAGCAGGGGGAGCAGCAGGCAGAGGGAGAAGCAGGCTCCCCACTGAGTAGGGAGCCTGATGTGGGACTCGATCCCAGGACTCTGGGATAACGACCTGAGCTGAAGACAGACTTAACCGACTGAGCCACCCAGGCATCCCACAAATTCTTGTTTAATATAGGTCAGAAGTTCTGATTAGCAGTTAGCATGACTTTGATTCGTTAAGGGAATTTGTGTGATAGATGTCTTTCAGAAATATGGGCTGGGGGTATCAATAACAGGAATATTGTTGGTGCTGAAAAGGTCAGTAACACCAAGTATTATGGGTATAAAACTGCCCCCTAAACTGTAAAGTGTGGTGCCAATGGAAGTTAGGTTTAGCTGGTCTACAGAATTTTTAGAGGCCTCTTCTCTATGCCAAACCTTGAGCTGGGCACTAAGGATGTGGTGAAGACCCACGTGGTGCCTGCCTGGAGATGCCCACAGGCCAGTGGAGGGGGACCTGGGAACAGACTGAGAGTCAGGCTGCATTTGGGGAATACTAACAGACCGAACAAAAATACCAGATTATTACATGTGAGGTGATACACTAGTTGTTAGCCTTCCAAACCAGCTTCCTGAATAACTTTGGTTATCTAAAATTGACTCACTCAGTCAATAAAATATGTATGTGCCAGGTACCTGGAACACTGAGGAAAAAGCAGGACAGTCTCTCCCCTCAGAGTCTAGTAACTGGGCAAAGCACTTTCTATTCAACCTCTAATTCAATCCTCACAGCAATCCTATGAAGAATGGATTAAATCCTCATTTTACAGGCGACGAAATGAAGGATTAAGGAGCTGGAGTAAATTGCCTAAAGGCAATCAGCTATTAAGTGATGATGTCAGAACTTAAACTCAGGGCCACGTTACCCCAAAGCATGCGCTCTTAGTCATTACGTCAGCGAGTTTTCACCCTTTCAATACCTCCACTCTTCATTCCCTTAGTTACTCATTCATTCCAGAAAATGTAGAGGGCCTATTACATTCAAGCCTCCTCCTGAGCAGAGGAGGACGCACGCAGTCCCTGCCCTCAAGGAGCTCACAGAGGAGAGAGGGAAACAGATGGCTTAAATGTGCAGGCGCCGAGAGGGGAGACTCAGAAGCTCATCGTGTGGATGGATGTGTGTTGGAGGTTGTCAGGGAAGGTTTCTGAGGGGGTGTGATGGCGCAGCCACAGAAAAGACTGGGGCAGTTTCAGAGGGAGGCTGCATTTCTGTCCCGGAGACTCTGCCACAGGTCACTGCAGAACCAGGAGTAGTGACAGGGTTCAGGAATGTCCTGGGTTCTCATTTAGGTGTGACTTCGTTCTCAGCTTGACTGTGGGCTCTACCTCTAAGATTCAAGTACTGGAATAAAGAGAGCCAGAGGCAGCCAAACGGCTGGGAAGAAAGAACTGAGTTGCCATGGCAACAGCTCCTAGGGGGGAGGGGGACAGTTCCGCTGGCTGGAGTAGAGAAGGGAGACCAAGGGGAAGCATTCTGACAGCAGCCAACCCATACAGCCGGGAGAAAAATAAACCGAGAACCTGTGACTTCCTCTTTCTCCCATAAACCTCAAGGCCCCTTAGCAAGGCTGTTCGGTTAACCCTGAGGTGGCTCTGTGAAGCAGGCAGTTAAATGCAAAGTCGCAGACTTTCACCCTTGAATGGTCGGATGAGCTCTCATCATGCCTGTGCCCTGAAAGCTCACAGATGCTCTTGAGGTCTGTATATTACAGGCGAGGAAAGCTCAGAAAGATGGATCACACAGCTAGGAAGTTAGGTCAGAGCCGCAATCAAACCCCTATCAGTGTGACTCCAGGAGGTGGATGGGTGCCCTACCCCTCCCAACATCCAGTCCCACCGCAGCCAGTAAGTAGCGATGTGCCTGGGTAAGCTCACTTTCTTCTGTGGGCCTACGCCTAGTCATCTGTGAAATAGGGAAGGCAAAATGCACGAAGTGAACTCTTAAGTCTCTCCAGCTCTGGAAGTCCAATGAATCCAATCACTTCAAATGTTGTTTCTAAAGCTCATTTCCGGATGCTTCACAAAATAGCTTCCTGTCCTGATATTCTTAGGCCCGTTTCTTTGTTTACCAAACAAGGCCTCAGTCTTGTTCCTCAACTTCTTAATTCTGTCTCTCTTTCCCCTCCTTTTTTTCCAAAATTTTCCAGTTTCTTTGGAAATCCCAGACCTCCTACCTCATCCACAAATACTGCAATATGTTTCTAGCAAACAAAGACTTCTTTCCACCCCTCTTCTGACCACCTGCCCATTTTCGTGGCCGCTCTTCCCCACCTTTTCTACCTCCCAGTAACGCTGCGGAAACATTCCTGGGTAGGAAAGCCTATCTCAGGCCCTGTGTGCATGGGCTGGGGGAAACATGATCTTTAGCAGCCCTTGCTGGGTGTCAGGCCAGTGCTGGCCCTGAGGGCACAGGGATGAATCAGACAGACCTAGCTCTCACACACATGCAAACCCCCTGTCAAACCTTCAGACGTTTCCTGAGGTCACCCTTAGGAGAGTCACTCCAATGTCTCCCAAGCCTCTCTAGATCTCTCCCCACCCCACAACCCTCACCTTTTCCATTGGTCCCTATCTCAGTCATCTGAGGCCAAAATCCAGGTTGTAATCTTGCAGGCTGCTCGTATCTTCAACCTCCTCCCACCTAGGTAATCATAACCAAGTCCTGGTGATTCTCAGTTCTGGTCAATTCCATGGCTCTCTGCCTCCTCGAGTGCCCTTCCCCCAATCCAATCTCTACTCTGAAACCAGAGTCCATCTTCTGAAGTGCAAATCTGATCTGGCCACACCCTGCATCGAACACTTCAGGTACCTGACATCCCCTTCCAGATAAATTCTAGACTCCTTAATAGGTTTTACAAGGCCCTTTGCAGCCCTGGCAAAAACAACTACCAGAATCACTCTGCCCCCACCCATCCAGAGCAGGCTGGTCCCCCTTGCCTCCAGGACTTGACTCATTTGCTGCCCACACTGCCTTCACTTAGGCCACTCATCCTTCAAGTTAATTCCTCCAGAAATCTTTCTAGATGGGTTGTCTGCTTGTGATCCTCCAGGGCCCTGTATTTCCACCATCATGGCAGTTATCTCTTGTAATTCCATTTGTTCATCTGTGTCCCCCGCTAGACTGTGAGGTTCCTAAGGGATGACTATCCCAGATTCCTCTCTGTGTCACCAGTACCTACTACAGGGCCCAGCACACCAGGTTGCTCAATAAATTCCAATTGACTGGAGCTTACCTGCTGCACTGATTTACAGGAGCGCCTGGTATTCTGATAAAAGCCTGTCTTTCCCTACCTGGCATCATGCACCATGCTGGTTCCCTCTCTTGCTCAGGAATTCATTTATTGAGCACCTAGGGCGGCCCTGCCACGGAGCAGGTGACTTTGCCTTGGTCAACAGCCAACCACAATGACGTTATCATTGTTCTATGGGAAAGAGCCACAGTCTCCCCCTGCTGGATCTGCTTTGCCTTCCAGGAGTCTTCGGGATGGCACCTAGCCCAGGAGAGATTAGAATGTTCTGCTCCTGGAGTGCACTGGGCCTTTTCCGGATCTCCCCCCCCCACCCCCACCCCGCAAACTCCCCTCAACCACGCCCTGGGAGGGGGCAGGCGAGCAGGCGGACTCAGGACGCTGCCGGAGGGGAAGGAGCAGGCTGGAGAGGATGGGGATGTGGTGGGTGGAGGGAATGAGAGTCCCGCAGGCTTCCGTTGAGTCTTCTCCCAAACACCGGAGGAGGAGGGGCAGCGGAAGAGCGGTGGACGAGGACAAGCCAGGGGACTGAGGGGAGACACACAGAAAACAGCTGAAACAAAGACCGAACAAAGAGGGAGGAGACAAACAAAGGCGGCCAGGCAGGAAAGGGGGCAAGGAGGAGAGGGTGGTCCGAGCCGGGGGGGGGGGGCGGAACGGGCACGGGTGGGCGGAAGTAGAGGTCAAAGCCAGAACTAGCTAGAGGAGAGCGCCCAGCCAGGGGCGCGCCAGAAGCTAGGGGCCTCAGACCCCGAGGAAGGGACGCACGGGGGACACCGAAAGGAGTGAAAGACTGCAGAAGCGCGAGGATAGAGCCGCCCTCCCGGCTGCGCACTCACCGCTGGCGGGCCCGCGGAGGGGGAGGCCTGGTTGGGCCGCAGGGAGCGGGGCACCGAGCTCAGACTCATCGTTCTGGTCCCGCAGGTGGCTGGGCGCCCAGCCCCGCCACGTGCGCGGTACCTGAGCCTGGCTGGCGGAAGTACACTTTTGCTCCACGCCCCCGGGTGGGGCAAAGTGGGCTCACGCTGTGGTTAGAGGCCGGGGTTGACTTTGGCTCTGCCAAGCATGCGGTTAGACCCTAGGTCAGACACAGACCCTCTCTCGGAGGGGGTTCCCAGACAGCCAAACGGGGGAGGCAGAGGGAATTGACACGGACAGCAGGAGACTTTCTACTCTCTACAGACCTAGGAGTGAAGGATCAACAAACCCCCATTTTACAAATGAGGAAAGTGAGGCTCCAAAAGCTAGGGTGGCAAGTGTAGAATATTTATCCACTTAAGATCACCTGCTAAAAGTGCAAAGCATGACCACCGATGAAAAGAGCTAAGATACCGGTTGTGTGGGTTATTTTGCTTGTTAAAACATGGCCCTAAGGAGGGGGAGCATAAGTCCTCATTCCTAAAGTATGGTCTGTGCATGGTGGCTTTCTTCCAAAGAGGACAGTATGGAAAGGGAGAAAAAAAGAAAACTGACATACCGTACTTCAGCTGGGTAATCAAGGTCAACATCAAGATGATAGGAAGTACCCTTGGTATGATGTGATGAAAATGGCACTTTACCTCTGATCTTCCAGCCCAAAACCCATAAACCCAATCTGATGAGAAAAACAAATAACAAATTCCAATAGAGGGAAATTCCAAAATATATCTGACCAATAATCCTCAAAACTGTCAGAGTCATTAAAACAAGGGAAATCTGCTCAGTCAGTTGGGTGCCTGCCTTTGGCTCGGGTCATGATCCCAGGGATCTAGCCTCCAGTAGGGCTCCCTGCTCAGCGGGGAGCCTGCTTCTTCCTCTCCTGCTCCCCCAGTTTGTGCCCTGTCAAATAAATAAATAAATAAAAATAAATAAAACCAGGAAAACCTGAGAAACTGTCACAACCAAGAGTAGCCTAAGGAGACATAGCAACTAAATATAATGTAATGTGGAATGCCGGATGGGATCCTGGAACAGCAAATAGACATTAGGTAAAAACTAAGGAAATATGAATAAGCTGTGGGCTTTAGTTAGTAATAGCATATCAACGTTGGTTCATTAACAGTAACAAATGTACCATACTAATGAAATATGTTAAGAATAGGGGAAACTGAGTGTGGGGTATATGGAGACTCTCTGTACTATCTTCTCAATTTCTCTATACATCTAAAACTGTCCTAAAAAATACAATAAAAAATTGACTCGATAACAATACAACCACTATGCAAAACAGTATGGAGTTCATAATCTTTATGCTGGTGGAAGGTTTGCCCTAGTACTGCGGCTGCTGACTCATCGGGGTGGTGGTTGCTGAAGGTTGGGGTGGCTGTGAAAATGTCTCAAAATTAAGACCACAATGAAGTGTGCCAAATGGATTGACTCTTTCATGAATGATTTGTCTCTAGCATGCAATGCTGTTTGATAGCATTTTACCCTCAGTAGCACTTCTACCAAAATTGGAGTCAATCCTCCCAAACCTAGCTGCTCCTTTATCAACAAAGCTTATGTAGTATTCTAAATCCATTTTTGTCATTTCAACCATCTTCACAGCATCTTCACCAGGAGTAGATTCCATCTCAAGAAACCACTTTTGTTGCTCATCCACGAGTAGCCATGAGATAATGGCAATTCAGTCACATCTTCAGGCTCTACTTCTCATTCTAGTTCTCTTGCTATTTCCACCACATCTGCAGTTACTGCCTCCACTGAGGTCTTGAACCCCTCACAGTTACCCATGAGGATGGAATCAACTTCTTCTATACTCTTGTTCATGCTGATATTTTGATCTCTTCCCATGAATCACAGATTTTTTCATGGTATCTAGAATAGTGAATGCTTGCCAGAAGGTTTTCAATTGACTTTGCCCAGATCTATCAGAGGAATCACTCTCTATGGCAGCTATAGCCTTATGAAATGTGTTTCTTTTTTTTTAAGATTTTATTTTTTAGTAATCTCCACACCTAATGTGGGGATTGAATTTACAACCCCAAGATCAAGAGTCTCCTTCTCTACTGACTGAACCAGCCAGGCACCCCATGAAATGTATTTCATAAATAATAAGATTTGAAAGCCAAAATGACTCCTTGATCCACGGGCTACAGGATGGATGTTGTATTAGGAGGCATGAAAACAACATTCATCTCATTATACATCTCCATCAGAGCTCTTGGGTGACCAGGTGCATTGTCAATGAGCAGTAATATTTTGAAGGGAATCTTTTTTTCTGGAGCACCTGGTCTCAACAGTGGGTTTAAAGTATCCAGGATGTTACAAACTGATGTGTTCTCATCCGGGCTTTGTAGAGCATAGGCAGAGTAGCTTTAGCATAATTCTTTTTTTTAAAAAAATATGTATTTTATTTATTTATTTGACAGAGAGACACAGCCAGAGAGGGAACACAAGCAGGGGGAGTGGAAGAGGGAGAAGCAGGCTTCCCGCAGAGCAGGGAGCCCGATGCGGGGCTCGATCCCAGGACCCTGGGATCATGACCTGAGCTGAAGGCAGACGCTTAATGACTGAGCCACCCAGGCGCCCCTGGCATAATTCTTAAGGACCCTAGGATTCTAAGAATGGTAAATGAGCATTGGCTTCAACTTCAAGTCACCAGCGGCATTAGCTCCTAACAGAGTCATCCTGTTCTTTTGAAGCTTTGAAACCAGGCACTGACTTCTCCTCTGTAGCTATGAAAGTCCTAGAGGCATCTTCTTCCAATAGAAAGCTATTTCATGGGGCGCCTGAGTGGCTCAGTCGTTAAGCGTCTGCCTTCGGCTCAGGTCACGATCCCAGGGTGCTGGGATCGAGCCCCGCATCGGGCTGCCTGCTCAGCGGGTAGCCTGCTTCTCCCTCTTCCACTCCCCCTGCTTGTGTTCCCTCTCTGGCTGTGTCTCTCTCTGTTCAAATAAATAAAAAAAAAAAAAAAAGAAAGCTATTTCATCTGCATGGGAAATCT